TGATAGTCTAGATTGGGTTCAGACAGTGTTAGTAGCAGAACTTATAGAAGGAGTAAGAGATCTCTGCTATTCTTGTGACCTAAATAGTTAAAATTATTTCAGAATAAAGTCAAGAACATAAAGTGGTCCTACAATAGTCCCTGCGATATTCCCAACCCCACTTCTCCCCACCCCTCAAGGACACCCTCTACCTCTGTAGTGCAGACTGGCCCAACTCACCCTGTACCCAGGCTAGCTTTGAACTCAGTTGGCCTCTTTCCTTTGCCTCTAGACTGCTGTGATTACAGGACAGTGTACCATGCCTGTGGGTATGTATATCTAGATAAGTAGATAGAAACACACACACACACACACACACACACACACACACACTGAATTAATGAATTAATGTAATTTAAAATGTGATGAATAAGTGAAGTAATCTTTGTGAATGTTATTAGGGAAAATGAATGCAGAACCCAAAGGATTAAAACAAACAAATGATTATTTTATGTATGCGTATGCCTGTGTGCATATATGTGCACGTGTGTGTGGGAGCTCTCTGGCCAGAAGAAGGCATCACACCCATTGGAACTGGAGTTACAGGTGACTATGAGCGGACAAGTGAGTGCTGGGACTGAACCCGGGTTCGCTGCAGTAGCAATACATGCTTTTAAGCTCTGAGGCATTTTGCCAGCAAAATTGAAGCATTTTATAAAGCTGTCAGAACCATGAGAAAAAAACATCCAGAACCTTCTCCCACATAGCCCAAAGAAACATCTGGGGACACCCCCCCATTTATACATTATTAACTGCACAGGGAGGAACTTCTTCCACATACCCCAAAGTGACATTCTGGGACATCCCCAACACTTATCCATTATTAACTGCACAGGGAGAGACACCCTACTCAGAGACAGCACTCCAACCACCACTCCTGGAGTCACCTCTGAGAATTCCTGGAAGGGCGTATCTCACATGGTCAGGATGCAGGACAGTGGCCAGGAAATTGTCAGTGTGCCCCCCAGTCTATCCGAATCTTCCAGGGACCGAGTTTTGCTAGCGCCACAGTCACCAACAGGATTTTACTGGGAAAACCCAAGAAACCACATCTTCCAGGCCATGCCCTTTCCCAAATTCACTCAGTGGACTCTACAGCCTGGAAGTACAGCAGGCCTCTTATTTGCTTCTCCTGGTCATCTGTCCTGCTTTTGGCTAATTCTAACTCATTTTTACACCTTTGCTTTCATCAGCACATGGTGTCAGGATGTTGTGATGGAGAGAGCCCTGCTGAGAGCTAGGACTCCGGGGTCCCATGCCCACATGTAACGAAAGTTCAAATGCTACACAATGCTCTTGTCCCAGCCGGAACATTGTTGTGGGACTACCTCTTGGAGTCTCGGCATCTTTGGGAGATTCCAGACCTTAATTTATGGGAAGGTGAGGGATGGACATGCGTGGAAAGGGAAATGCTTTTCATGGTGATCTTTTGGCACCATATTCAAGGTTCCCAGTGAACTGTCAAAGACCAGATGGGTGGAAAGATGGCACCTTGAAACCTTCCACAAATATGCCTTTAAGATGACATATTTTCATGGCATGGTTTCTTGTTCATACTTTTGTTGTTGTTGTTGTTGTTTGTTTTTCGAGACAGAGTTTCTCTGTGGCTTTGGAGCCTGTCCTGGAACTCACTCTGTAGACCAGGCTGGTCTCGAACTCACAGAGATCTGCTTGTCTCTGCCTCCCCAGTGCTGGGATTGAAGGCATGCACCACCACCACTGGCTCTTGTTCATACTCTTGTTTAGAAAAATAAAATTGAGGGCTGGAGAGATGGCTCAGCAATTAAGAGCACTGGCTGCTCTTCCAGAGGACCCAGGTTCAAATCCCAGCACCCACATAGTGGCTCACAGCTGAGTGTAACTTCTGTTCCAGGGAATCTAATGCTCACATACAGACATGTGCAAGCAAAACACCAATGTTACATGAAATAAAACATACATTTTAAAAAAATTTATAAGAAAAATAAAATTGAGCCAGAAGTGGTGGCACATGCTTTGAGCCAGGGCTGGAGTGGCAAAGGCAGGAGGATTTTTGTGAGCTCAAGGCTGGCCTGGTCTTCATAGCTAGTTCCAGGATTGCCAGGGCTACAAAGAGAGATCCTGTCTCAAAAAGAAAAGAGGAAAAAAAGAAAATATCGTATGTGTATCCTGCTCTTCTGTGGCTTTGCCTTTCAAGCACACCCTTCAGATGGGGCTCTCTGAGGACTGTCCCATTGACACATGGGCTCTCTGAGGACTGTCCCATTGACACATGGGCTCTCTGAAGACTGTCCCATTGACACATGGGCTCTCTGAGGACTGTCCCATTGACACATGGCTTCTCTGAAGACTGTCCCATTGACACATGGCCTCTCTGAAGACTGTCCCATTGACACATGGGCTCTCTGAGGACTGTCCTGTTGACACATGGGCTCTCTGAGGACTGTCCCGTTGATACATGGGCTCTCTGAAGACTGTCCCATTGACACATGGGCTCTCTGAAGACTGTCCCATTGACACAGGGCTCTCTGAAGACTGTCCTATTGACACAGGGCTCTCTGAAGACTGTCCCATTGACACAGGGCTCTCTGAAGACTGTCCTATTGACACAGGGCTCTCTGAAGACTGTCCCATTGACACAGGGCTCTCTGAAGACTGTCCCATTGACACAGGGCTCTCTGAAGACTGTCCTATTGACATGTGGGTTTTCTGAGGACTGTCCTATTGACACGTGGGTTCTCTGAGGGCTGTCCCGTTGATACATGGAGAAAGTTGAGAAATTGGAGCTCAGATGATTGCTACTCATCCCTCAGTTCCTGCACTTCTGTAGCCCTGCATGCAGAGGATCCCCATGTGGTCTCCCTTCATATAGACATGCTAAGATCATACAGGGGATGGCCCTGGGAGCTGCCATGGCAAACGAGCTATGCTTCTCAGTGCTACCGCATGACTAAAGCAGAGACAGCTGTTGAGAAGTCCCACTGGAAAATCGAGGCCCCAGCAAAAACTCTGCAGTGCCCCTGCCCCCCTTTCCAAACTCTAGTTAGCACAGAGCATGCACCATTCTGCAAAGAAAAGGATGCTTCCTTGAGCCACTTCCAGCAGCAGAGTCTGTTTTGGTGTGGTATCCCAGGACTTTTTATCTACTTCAGACGAAAATCACATCCATTGTTCTAAAAACTTCCCAGATCAGCCTGCTGGTCATAATGCACGCCTTTGATCCCAGCACTCAGGAGGCAGAGGCAGGTAGATCTCTGTGAGTTCAAGGCCAGCCTGGTCTATAGAGTGAGTTCCAGGATAGCCAGGACTACACAAAGAAACTCTGTCTCGGGGAAAAGAAAATCGACAAACAGAAACCTTCTCAGATCCACTGCTTGTCTGGAACAACCAAAGCAGAGTTTCCTGTGCTGGAGTCCCTGGCTCTTCATTTCACAAACCCATAGCACAGAAGTCTGGAAGGGAGAGCCAGTGCAATCCAAGAGTATTTCAAGACACACATCATTAAGGGATGGTGGCCACAGAGCTCAGGGTCAGTCCCCAGATAAACCCCAGGATGCACCTGTGTGTCCCACTGTGTCCTGAAAAAGGTAGGAGGAGGACACATGAGGATAGATATTCACTGCAGGAAAAAAAGCCAGGCCAAGGCTCAGAACCCACCCTCAATGACGCCTGCTATGTCTCATTCTCTCTAGACTTTTGGGCTGGCATGTGCTGTGTGTCCACCATCTTTAAGTGCTGTGGGACACTGTCCATTCCTTCCTCTCCCTTTCCACCTGCTTCTGCCCAGATGTGCCTGTCCCTTGCTCTGCCCAGCACATCTGTATTCCATTCATCACTGGACCAGGACTCTAGGGAGAGGACAGGAAGTGCTCCTCACACCCGCTCACCCTGGTGCTTTTTAAAACCTGGCTTGTGGTCACTGAGCCCATAGCCACAGAGAGGATTTTTTTAAAAGACTAAACCATATAATTAAAATCTCTGTTGGGTTTTGGGGACAGTGCTGGGCGGCTCCCCACCCCTTCTTTCCGGAAACACAGATTTTTGGCATTTGAAAGTGACAAGCGGCTGAAATGAGGCTGCCCAAAATATACCATCCTGGGCACATCATTGCAGCTGGGGAGCAGGTTTGTTTTTTTCTAAAATCTTTGCCTTTGCCATAGGGAGCACAGTCAGCTTCCATCCTGAGCTCCTCCTCAGCTGTCACCCTAGACTGCCATTACCTTCATTCACCTCCAGCAGCTCTTGTACGGGGTCCCTTAGACCACATGGCTCCCACTTGCACAGCCTTGCTCCCAGCCCTGGATTTCAGCCAAACCCACTGCTACACCCAACGGCCATGATCTACAGACAACTCCCCTCTGCCTAGCGCATGCTTGGCCACTGCCCAAGACGCCTTTTTGTCCATCAGTTCAGATGTCACCATTTCCTCTTGCTTTCTGCCTGCCTTCTTCCCTTTGTCCTCCCATCAGATCCTTCTGGCACTGGTTGCCCCTCCCTTTTTTAAGGTCCTTCTGCTACTGGCCTTGTAATGTGGCCTGCATTCTGCACATCTCTCTCCCAGGACACCGAGGGAAATGCAAACAGAACTAACAGTCCAGATCAGCTGTCAGATCTGAGCTCTCACACCCACCCTCTCATCAAGGACAGACTTTGGGAGTCCTCTGTCCCACCGAAATTCAGCCAATTATGTCCCTGTAGATAGGGTTTCCCCCCTGGAGCCCTGGGGATTTTCAGCCTTGGGACCAATGTCCTTCTCACCATTGGCCTAGGAGCTCTGAGAGGAGGTGCTGTGATTCATCGCTGGTCCAGGGGCTGCTGAGCACTTGCTGAGTTTCCCACGACACACCTCCTGGGGCCTGGAGTGCTCCCAGAGCAGATCACAAGCTGCTTGTAGAGCAGGAGCGGGCCCTACCCAGACAACTTCTCCTCTGAGCACAAGCCATAGCTCCTGGTGACCACCCCACTCCCACTCTGTCTTCCAGTGGAACATGACCATACCCTGGACTACCAGGAGCCACACTGGAAGGAATTCCTCTTTGACCTAACCCAGATCCCTGCTGGGGAAGCTGTCACGGCTGCTGAGTTCCGGATATACAAAGAGCCCAGCACCCACCCGCTCAACACAACCCTCCATGTCAGCATGTTCGAGGTGGCCCAGGAGCACTCCAACAGGTACCTTCCCTCTGCCAGGTGCCCACCCCACCTCAGGGTCTCATGGCCTAGGCTCCGGCAGGGCCTGTCCAGGTGCATTTCCTAGAAAGGAAAGGGGCTCACGCTGGGAGAGGCGCCTCAGACATGAGAAAGGGGCTTGGTCTGGAACTCCCTGCCCTGCTGGTAACTGTGGAGCCCTCAACAGGTCACAGCACTGAGCCACGGTGCCAGTGTCCCCACCAGCACACGGACACAGTAAAATGCCAGGGGTTGGTTGTCGGTGAAATGTGGTAGCAAAGGAGGCCAGCCCAGAGCCAAGCAGGGAAGAGGCTCTGAAAGTGGTCCCCAGGCAGGCACAAGATACAGGCAGGTGTGCCGACCTCAGCCTTGGTTAATTGTTCTTTCATGTCCACAGGGAGTCTGACCTGTTCTTTTTGGATCTTCAGACGCTCCGATCTGGGGACGAGGGCTGGCTGGTGCTGGACGTCACTGCAGCCAGTGACCGCTGGTTGCTGAACCATAACAAGGACCTGGGACTCCGCCTCTATGTGGAAACCGAGGATGGTGAGGCTCCAGGCCTTAGCAGGGAGCTGCCCTGGGGGTCTTGGGAGATGGTTCCAGCAGAGGCTGCCGGCCTACTACACAGACCCCTCTCCCTGGGCCATGCTTGGCCTTTCTTGAGGACTCAGTGGGTAGAGTGATGAGGTCCTGGATGGGGGAGGCCCCAGCCAGGGCTGCCTTCCTGCCCCTCCTAATAGCAACTGTAGCAACTGACTTCCTGAGAGCCAGCTCTGGTATCCTTTGGGGAGAGGGGGCTTCTCCATGGGCAGCAGGTTCCACTCTGAGAGGTTCTGTACTGAGAAGGCGGGTGGGGGGATCTGCACTCCAGGTTCTGCAGTGTTGTAACTCAGTACCCGAGCCTCAGTTTCCTCATCTACACAGGGTTATAGTCACTGATTCACTCACAGGATTTTTGTGGGACATTTCCTTTATGTAGTGAGGACAGAAAGGGGACTGGCTTGTCTGGGGTCCACCAAAGGCTGGAAGGATAGCTTGGAAGGAGGGGGGCAGAGAGGTGGCAGGAGTCACCCTGAATTAGGGAAAACTGGCAAGATACTTGAAAGTTTAGAGCAGTTTAACACAAGTGGGTGACAGATGTGACTGGGACTTTAAAAGACCAGGCTAAGGTGGGTGTTGGTAGCACATGCCTTTAATCGAGCAGAGACAGAGACAGGTAGATCTCTGTGAGTTCGAGACCAGCCTGGTCTACGAGAGCTAGTTCCAGGACAGCCTCCAAAGCCACAGAGAAACCCTGTCTCAAAAAACAAAAAAACAGTGCCGGGCGGTGTTGGCGCACGCCTTTAATCCCAGCACTCGGGAGGCAGAGGCAGGCAGATCTCTGTGAGTTCGAGGATGGGCTGGACCGATAGCCTCCAAAACAATACAGAGAAACCCTGTCTCGTAAAAACCAAAAAAATCTTAAAACAAAACAAAACCCCCCAAAAAAAAAACAAAAAAGAAAGAGAACATAAATAGATAAATAAACAAATAAATAAAATGAACAGGCTAACTTCAGTCCCTCAAGGAGGGGGCTCCGAACCCCACCCCCAGGTGAGCTCCTGGGTACCACGGGGTCACAGCGCTGGCAGCTAGTTGTCAGCAGCAGGGTTTCCAATGCCTGTCCAAGCTGTTGTGAGACAGGCCAAGCCACAGAGATGGCCAAGGCTGTCCTCAGGGTGAGACCCGTGGCGATCCTGGTCGGTGTCCTCCCTGCTCTGTGACGCAGCACAGAGGTAACGTCAGGCAGGATCACAGGGTGCACCGGGCCTTTCCCTCTCTGTTCGGGTCCTGGGAGCCCGCGTGGCGAGTGGACGATGGCGGCGCTGAGGCTTCTGGCGTGGGCGCTCCCGCGCGGGGTCTCTGCCCGCTGCCCACGGCCCGCGCTGCCCCACCGCCTTGCCCTCCGCTTTGCTAGCGACCGCTGCGGACGCGTCCACTTCTACACGGATCCGGTGAAGGCGTTGGAGGGCGTCAAGGACGGGGTGACCATCATGCTCGGGGGCTTTGGGCTCTGTGGCATCCCCGAGAACCTGATCAGTGCGCTGAAGACCAAGGGCATAAAGGACCTGAAGATCGTCAGCAGCAACGTGGGCGTGGATGACTTCGGCCTGGGCGTCTTGCTGGCCTCCAAGCAGGTCAAGCGCGTGGTGTGCTCATACCTGGGGGAGAACCAGCTGTGCGAGCAGCTGTACCTGGCCGGCGAGCTGGATCTGGAGATGACGCCGCAGGGCACCCTGGCCGAGCGCATCCGCGCAGGTGGCGCAGGCGTGCCCGCCTTCTACACGCCTACGGGCTATGGCACGCTGGTGCAGGAAGGGGGCGCTCCGATCCGGTACTCGCCCGATGGCCACCTGGTCACCCTGAGCCAGCCGCGGGAGGTGCGCGAGTTCGGCGGCCGCCACTACCTGCTGGAGCACGCCATCCGCGCCGACTTCGCTCTGATCAAGGGCTGGAAGGCCGACCGCTCCGGCAACGTGATCCTCCGGGGCAGCGCGCGCAACTTCAATGTGCCCATGTGCAAGGCCGCGGACATCTCGGTGGTGGAGGTGGAGGAGATCGTGGACGTGGGTTCTTTCCGTCCGGAGGACATACACATCCCAAACATCTACGTGAACCGCGTGATCAAGGGACCGAAGTACGAGAAGCGCATTGAGCGCCTGACCACGTGCGATTGCCAACCAGCGGCTATGAGCAAGCAACAGGAAGCCTCCAGGACCCGCATCATCAAGCGCGCAGCTCTCGAGTTTGAGGACGGCATGTATGCCAATCTGGGCATCGGGATCCCACTCCTGGCCAGCAACTTCATCAGCCCCAAGATGACGGTCTACCTGCACAGTGAAAACGGGATCCTGGGCTTGGGCCCGTTCCCTTCGAAAAATCAAGTGGATGCCGACATCATCAACGCGGGCAAGCAGACGGTGACTGTGATTCCCGGGGGCTGTTTCTTCGCCAGCGACGACTCTTTTGCCATGATCCGCGGGGGACACATCCAACTGACCATGCTCGGTGCCATGCAGGTTTCCAAATACGGTGACCTGGCCAACTGGATGGTGCCAGGCAAGAAGGTGAAGGGCATGGGCGGTGCCATGGACTTGGTGTCGGGTGACAAGACCAAAGTGGTGGTCACCATGGAGCATTGCACCAAGAAAAAGCAACCCAAAATCTTGGAGAAATGCACCATGCCGCTGACTGGCAAGCGCTGCGTGGACCTCATCATCACCGAGAAGGCCGTGTTTGACGTGGACCCGAAGAAGGGGCTGACGTTGATGGAGCTGTGGGAGGGATCGTCGGTGGAGGAGGTTAAGGCCACCACTGGCTGTGCCTTTAAGGTGTCCTCCGACCTCAAACCTATGCAGCAGATCAAACCTGATGCTTGAGGAGCCCTGACTCCTTCCTCCAGGGCTGATTTGTGAAGGAGTTAGTGACCACTGGCTCTCGGGCTTCCCGCTGCCAGATGGTATCTTCTCAAGAGCCGAGTGATTTTAATTAAAAACCCTAAGCTGAGCCTGTGTGTCTAACTAAAGCCTTGCGCTAAAACCATTGAGGACACTGCCCCCCATCTCCCACTTTCTGTGACCTTCACATACAAGGCTCCAGCTCATCCCCTGACAGGTGTCAGCGCTGCTGAGTCATGAGGCCTGGAGAAGAGCACCGGGGCAGAACAAATCCCAAGTTCACCTGGTGCTGCTTCACTGCCGCCACGGAATGCAGACCTGTGGGTCTGTGGGCAGCAGGAACTCCGGTTTCTCTTCCTGGGCCCTCGTTTCTGCTCCTGATTTTGTTTCCCTGAATCTGCCCCCACCCATTTCCTCCCGGAAGCTGCATAGGTGTCCCTAGAAGGGAGGCGGGCCTGTCGCCTTGGGATGAGACTGAGGGAAGATGGTTGGGGCTGGTACTGGAAAATTCACTGTACATTAGCAGTCCCAGCATGTGTCCCGAGAGGCCTGGGCTTAGCACAGGTGGTCTAGAATCTAGTCATTGCCATGGATGGATTCTCACCTAGTAAACTGCAGTGTCTCCTGTTGTCCCTACAATACTGATATTCCGTTCTGAAGTCCAGCTGGCCTCCCTTCTTAATCCCAATGTGGCAGCTCTGGGGTCTGTCATTCTGAGTCTGTAATTTCATGGTGAAAGTGAAAAAAGTTATAAAGAGGTGTGTGTGTGTGCGCGTGTGCGTGTGTGTGAGTGTGCATGCATGTGTGTATGTGTATGCATTTGTGTGTGCGTGTGTGAGTGCATGTGTGTGAGTGTGCATGCATGTATGTGTATGCATGTGTATGTGTGCGTGGGTGTGTGTGATTGTGCATGCATGTATGTGTATGCATGTGTATGTGAGTGTGTGTGAGTGTGTGTACGTGTGTGTGTGTGTGTGTGTGTGTACCCTGAGAAAGCACTCCCCCACCATGCTTTTCTCCCAGAGCTGGGAAGCCTGGGGTCTTCCACCAGATAGGGTCCTACGTGATGATGGGGGCAAGGAGCCGATCTGGGAGGGAAGCTGCACTCCGGTTTGGACAAGGAGCAGCTTCGCTGGGCCTATCAGATACAGAACTGTGCAAGAGTGGCATCGGTCCCATGGGCGTCTGCCCCACCTCACGCAGTCTCTGCCTTGTCTGGGCAGGGTAGGAGTTACTTGGCTCTGCAGCTGCTTGCTCCAGGCCTTGAACAGCTGATGCCGTCTCTGGTTTTAGTTTGTGCACCTATAAAATAGGAACCTCGGTTTCGCTGCATCCGTGGGCTCTCAGTGCAGCTCACCTTGCCCTGAGGGCCTCCAGCACCCATGCAGGCCAGCTTTGCACTCTAAAGGCTCCTTCGTTACACAAGACCAGTTTCATGAAAGAAAACAGATGTGGCTGAACCTGGAACACTGACGCCCTCTGTGTTCCTCTAAGCCAGGGCTCCGGGACTCTGCAGTAAGTAGCAGGGACACCGGGCCTGTCCTGGGTCTAAACCTGCCCCTTGTGTTACTTGCAGGGCCTGACACTGTGGCTTTCACCACCCTTCCTGCTCCCAGCTACTCCATCCTCCTAGTGTGTGGCCCTGGGGCCCTTCCTGTCTTTCTTCACCTGCCTGAAGCTCTCTCTGCCCCCTCATACCACCTGCTGCCCCACCATCTTCTCTGGGCCCCATTCTTCCTGCCTGACCTCACCAGAGACTCTGTCCCAGGCCCTTTGTCCCACATCTCTTAGCCACAGTCCTGGGATGGAGTCTCACAAGCCTAGCACATTTGTTAGTGGCAGGTGAAGTCATAAGTCAAAGGTTGTATTGATTAGTTTTTCTTTCAAGTGGCTGGTGGACATCTGGTGTAGAGCCCAGTTGCTGACGTAGTGACCTTTGAGTGGACAGTGGCCTTCACTCCGTGTATAATGAAGAGCCTTTTGGCGTACAAGTGGAGCTAACAGGCCTGAGTGTGCGCGCACATATGAGTGTTCTGTTTCGCTACGGTTTTGTGTTGGGATTTTATGTAGGAGTTCGTGCTTACCAGGCAGGTGCTCTGAGCTGTGGCCTCAGCCCTTTGGCTTCTTTTACATTCTTTTACAAGCACTGGGGTAGAACCCAGGATGTTGAGCATACTGAGCAAAAACACAGATCCACATTGTTGTCTGAGATTTTGTATCTGCACCTACAGGCATGTACATGTGTGTATCGGCGCTTGTTACATGTCAGCTGAACAGTGATGCTGTGTTTGGTGATATATAAAGTGAACATTGTTGGGCTTTGGTGTAAGGAATCTCACGGGCACAAAGGGAACTGTTTCTGAGTTCTAGCATGACACCAGAAAGGAAGCTGACTGTCTGTGGGAGGTGACCCCACCCAAAGTGAGCTGCCGTGTATGGGTGGTTTTCCTGGAGGAAGTTCTATGGGAAAGGTTTGCAATGCTAACCCTTTACAACTTAAACCAACAGGACAGAAGTAGCCCAGGATATGAAAGGAGAGCTCTGGAACTGTGAAGGGGTGTTGAGTGCTGCCTTCCCGTCAGCCTAGTTCCAGAGCCGCATCAGTCCCAAATGAACACACAGGAGGCTATATTAATTATGAGGCTGTTGGCCGCTTGCTTGTTTTCTTACTGGCTATCTCTGACTTAAGTATTTACCCCATAATTGTTAATCTAAGTATTTCTCTTACCAGAGAAAGGGTCTGGACCTCTTAATTCTATGGCAGCTACTTGATGTCTGCCTGTGCCTCTCTTTCCCAGAATCCTCCTCAACTCCTAGTCCCACCTATCTTGCTTCCCTATTGGCCAACAGTGCTTTATTGACATATACACAGGACTTCCCCATCATCTCCTCTTTTATGTCTAAATAAAAAGAAAGGTTTTAACTTTAACATAGTCAAATTATATATAACAGAACAGTTATCAAGTAAGAACATAGTTACAATATTTTGTTCATTAACATTTAGTAAGATTGCCGGGCGATGGTGGTACATGCCTTTAATCCCAGCACTGGGGAGGCAGAGGCAGGTGGATCTCTTGTGAGTTCCAGGCCAGGCTTGACCGACAGCCTCCAAAACAATACAGAGAAACCGTGTCTCGTAAAAACCAAAAAAAAAAATTTAGTGAGATTTAAAGAAGATATTGTCTATCCTATCTTTGTGAGTCTAAAGTCTTATATGTAACTTACCTTTTACCATAACTAAGGAAAACTATGATTATAACTATCTGTCTTCAACTCCATCAAAGACCACAGAAGGATAATATATAAACATATAGGATTGACAGAGACATCTTGCCGTCTGGACAGTCACCTGAAGTTCCTCTGTAACATTGGGGCATCCATATTCAACCCATAGGCCACAGTATGTCTGGAAGACTTCTCAGCAAAGCAGGAAATTTTAAGCTGTCCATCTGGAATGGCAGTCTGTCAGTCATTTTCTGTGTCCTGCAGAAAGTCTGGCAGACTCTTCCATGAAGCAGGAACCCTGAAGGACTGTTTGAGATTAGCAGTCACTTTCCTGTGGGTCCTGCATGTCTAGTTTATACAGCAATAGTCAAGCAGTCTAGGCAAGAGTAGTTTCTTGCCCAAATGGCTAATCTTGCCATGTTGAAAGCAAACTCCATAACGAGTTTCTTTGATGCCCATCTTCCAGGAGCGACATTTCTCATTGTCAAGAAAAACCCTAAACCATTTTAAATGCCATTTTCTGAAGGTCTTTGAAAGGTTTGAAGACTATCTCAAATCTATCTCTATATATTTAGAAAACCTAACTTACCTAACTATAAGTTCTGACTATTATAAGTAACTATAGCCTGTATTTAATTACGCATTACGTTTTAAAAGATTGGTATAAGCATCATACTTAAACAAGAGGAGAAATATACATATCACAAAAATTGACATTGAATTTGTATCAATAAATGAAAAACCATACCAATACAAGTATTCATTTCCATACCAAAGGGGGTTCATTGTTACTCTTCCTTCTTGAAAGTTTCTTATCCCCCTGTGGTTATTACCTGGTTTACCTATTTTTATTTGGTTTGGTTTGGTTTGTAGTTTTAATTTTTAGTTGTTTGCGAGGTTAGCTGATTTTTTTGAGACAGCCTTGATGGGTATGGAATTCACCTATGTAGACCAGGCTAGCCTCAAATTCATGGTAATCTGCCTACTTCTGCCTCCTGAGTGCTGGAATCAAATGCATGGTCCACCATGCCAAACCTTGTTGGTTTTTTGAAACAGCTTCTATGTGATAGGCTTTGACTGACTGCCAATTCAATATGAAGAGTAGAATGACCTTGAATTCTTCAACCTCCTGCTTCCTCTGCCTCAATGCTGGGTTTACAGGAATGTGCCAACACACCAGCTTAATATGCTAGTTTTGCAGTTAGAAAGGGTGGAGGCCACTGACGGACCACCAGCAGAGCTGGAGCAGATGCTGGAGGCTTTGCTCCCCTGGGTTGACATCTGCAGTCCTTAGTGGATCAGGGACTCCCCCTATTTATAGGTCCCACTCTTCCTGTGGACAAGATGAGGTCTGTCTCTCTGAAGCCCCTTCCTTTCTTTGAAGCCATTGGCTGGCCTGGTGAACACACACTTGGCACTGGAATGAGCCTGATGTGACCTGAACCCTGGACTTTGTGACTGTTCTGACCTCTGGCCCTGCTCAGCCTGGGGGCTTGGTTGTGGGCATCAGAGGGACAGTGACTGCCCTGCCCTTGGATGATCAAGCTTGCTGTGCTGGGAAGAGAAACCCCAGATATGTCCTTGCAGAGGCGGCCATGAGCTAGTGTGTCATGAAACGCATATTCTAGTCCCCAGAAAGTGCAGGATGAAGATGGGACCTGGGTGTTAGATCATCGGACCAAGGGAGTCAGTGTCCTGAGCATCACCAGCAGTGGACTCTGGTCATCTCTGAGTGACTGTGACTTGGGTTACAGTGAGGACCAACCGAGGAAATCAATGGGTGAAATCCTTGACACCTGCCAAATGTTTCCCATCTGTCGGGTTATCACCAGTAGGAATGCCTGTGGCTGCTGAGATCCCTGCCCCCGCCACTACAGACCTGCTGGCCAATGTGCTTGGGCTGGTCTCCAGATGAGGAAACTGAGGTTCATGGTGCCATGCCACCACCCACAAGTCTCTCTCTCTCTCTCTCTCTCTCTCTCTCTCTCTCTCTCTCTCTCTCTCTCTCTCTCTCTCTGTCTCTGTCCCCCAGGGCACAGCATGGATCCTGGCCTGGCTGGTCTGCTGGGACAACAAGCACCACGATCCAGACAGCCTTTCATGGTTACCTTCTTCAGAGCCAGCCCAAGTCCTGTGAGGGCCCCTCGGGCAGTGAGGCCACTGAAGCGGAGGCAGCCAAAGAAAACAAATGAGCTTCCACATCCCAATAGACTCCCCGGGATCTTTGGTGAGGATGAGGTTGAGCCTCACCCGAGGCCTCTAGAAAGTGGTGGCCTGCCAATGGATCTAATTGCTGTCTGTGCCTGGCAGTGAGGGGGAGCTGTGCCTAGCTTGAAGGGTGCTGTGCCTGGCAGGGAGGGGGCTGTGCCTGACAGGGAGGGGGCTGTGCCTGACAGGGATGGGGGCTGTGCCTGGCAGGGGGGGGCTGTGCCTGACAGGGAGGGGGCTGTGCCTGGCAGGGAGGGGGCTGTGCCTGGCTTGGAGGGTGGGCTGTGCCTGGCAGGAAGGGGGCTGTGCCTGGCTTGGAGGGTGGGCTGTGCCTGGCAGGGAGGGGGCTGTGCCTGGTAGGAAGGGAGCTGCAGTCGAGAGTCTGCAGAAGCCATGTGTGCCCAGATGCCACCTGCTGCACACAGCCGCACCCTGTGGTGATGGGAGCCTGAGGACTGTTGAGCTGGGTCATGGCATGTGTGGGATCCAGAAGTAGAACTTGTGATCCCAATGGTTTAGTTTCCTGTTGTCCTTCATTTGTAAATGTGCCTGTCACATCACCCCTACATGGGAGTACCCATGGCAACTCCACAGAGCAGGACCCTGAGCAGACTTTACACCTTTGTCCCTGCAGATGATGGTCACGGCTCCCGAGGCAGAGATGTTTGCCGTAGGCATGAGCTCTACGTCAGCTTCCGGGACCTCGGCTGGCTGGTAATTTCTGCCTCTCCTCTCTGTATGCCACCTGCAGAGTCTGGTGTCTCCAGGGTGGAGGTGGAGATACTGTGCCTTTAACTGTGCATAAAAATGGGGAAAATGAGGCAACCTGAGCCTTCTGTCCAGTAAACTGCCAACAGGGAAACTGAGGCTGGGTGGCCAGGGCTTTTGGGCTCTTCCTGCTACAGCTGCTGCAGAAGGCATGGGGGCAACTATGGAGGAGACAGCAGAGGATGAGGTGTGGAGGACAGAGCTGGGGTCCAGCCCTGCCTGCTGAGGGGATGAGTGTTCACAGCCCCAAGTCATCCTGAGACAGGTGCTATGATGCTTTCTATGGAAGGACACTGATGTGACTCTCCTTTTCCCATCCACAGGACTGGGTCATTGCCCCCCAGGGCTACTCTGCCTATTACTGCGAGGGGGAGTGCGCCTTTCCACTGGACTCCTGTATGAATGCCACCAACCATGCCATCTTGCAGTCCTTGGTCAGTACCACAGTGGCCAGCTGGGAGCCAGGGGGCGGGGCAGGTGGCAGTAAGAATGAGGGACTTTCTCTGCAGACTCAGCTACAGAGTTTGACTCGGGAAGCTCAGGAGGAGTTGCTGCTCACATGGGCATCTGTGCGCAGACACTTGAGCACACATTCACTGCACATGCTCAAGTGGGAGCCTATGAACCTGTGTGGGGCCAGATTGATGTACCACAACCTTTGTGGTCACAATGGGGCACACATATAATACAACAGATGGTCACCCCATGGGGCCTGTGTGACCTCAGTGCACAAGTGCCCAGTGGACATGGTGGATTTCAGGCCCCTGGTGTGCGTATATACTCATCTGTCCTGCCTGGCTGGTGGGCCTCCCCTTTGGGCCCCCTGCTCTTCCGGGCCTCGGCTCATCCCTGATGCCTTTCCCTCATCTATATCCCAGGCTGGACTCAGACTCAGTATGTAACCAAGGGTGACTTTGAACTTCTCGTCCCCCGGCCAGAGTGCTAGGGTTATAAGTGTGCAGTATTAGGTCTAGTTTATGCCACGTTGTGGGTCAAGTCCAGTGCTCCCTGCATGCAAGCAAGCACATGGCCAACTGAGATCTCTCCAGAGCCATGCCCCTGCCTGTGTTTTTTGACCCCACTCCTTTCCCAACTGTTCCTTCAGTGGGTAGCACTGGTGAACCTTAGGTTCTGGGCCATCCTCAGCAATGGAAACAGGTTCTAGCAGGAGCCACCCTGTAGCCTGTATTGGCAGGCATTAGTGCTTGTTGACTTTGCTGTCCAGACTTTCTAGAATGTTCTTCCTGGAATCCTGGTGTCCCACAGTTTTGTGTTAGTCTAGCAAGAGGCTAGGCCAAGTGGTGCCCTGGAGTGAGCATCATGAATTAAAAAGAGCTGTCTGAGCTGACACTAAGGTGTCTTTTCACCATGGCCACTGGCAGTTGCTGGAGCCACTGTCCCGGAAGGAGCAGCCCGGGTGACAGGGTGACAGTGAGCTGTGCAGTCATTAGTTTCCTGGTGTGATGGGTGGACCTGTTCCCACGAGTCTTGTTTCCTCCCCACTTTGTTCTGGCCTCTGTTTCCCCTGTTGACAATGACTCAGCCAAAGTAAGTGCTCATGGCCTGCCTGGCAGCAGACAGGACAACCCCTGCGCCCTAGGGAGTCTGTAGTAAGCACATAAGCAAAGCAACAGTGAGTGAGAGGAGGACCACGTGTGCTGGGGTCACATGGCTCGTTGATGACAGAGGGAGCCTGGTTTGGGCTTCTGCACCAGGAGCATCCAGGACATTGGCAGAAAGCAGAAAGCCAAGCCAGGCAGAGTGGGGGCACACACCTTTAATCCCAGCACTCAGGAGGTAGGGGCAGGTGGATCTCTGTGAGTTTGAGGTCAGTCAGGTCTACATAGCAAGTTCCAGGACAGCCAAGGCTACATAATGAAACCCTGTCTCAAAAAAAAAAATACACAGGTGCATGCTATGAATTAATTTGTAGATGCTGAATGTATTCCACACCATCACATGGTGATGCCTGATGCCTAGGGCTGTGACCAGTGCAAGAAGAGAGAGGTGTCCCCGCTCTCCTGTTCTACCTCAGAAAAGGCTCCCTCCCTGCCATTTCAGCCTCTCTCTCTGTCCCTCCCTCCTTTCCTCCCTCCCTCCCTCCTCTTCTCACCGCCCCCCTCAGTTGACATCTCCTAGTTCTGTCACATGTGTTTTTAGATGGAGAGGTGGCAGCAGCCACCCCCAGATCCCAGTCTGGCTGCACACCACCCTGGAGTCCTGTCTCCTCCTCAGCCTCAGGGAAGCTGCTGCCCCATACCAGGCCAGCCAGAGCTGGGTGCTGCCCCATACATGGCCAGCCAGAGCTGGGTGCAGTGCAAAAGCTGGGGAGGAGGGTACCCAAATGATTGCTTAATGGAGACCATGATCCTAGGACCCAGAGAGCCCAAAGAGGCTCAGGGCAGCTGAACACACACACACACACACACACACACACACACACGGCTCTACATCTGTTGGGGATGTATTAAAGTGCAGAAAAATGTGGGGCCGTGAGGTTCTAGAAGAGGCACCTTGGAGGGTACCCATGGGCACCCAGTGCTGGGAACCAGCAAAGTTGTCTGTGTCTGGGCAGACATGAATGTGACGGTGGACTGGGGGCTGAGGGTACCAGAGGGTTTGTGTGTCAGGCCCTCCAAGTCATGTGACTAGGGACTGCGCGCTCTGGGGTCAGTGGGCAGGACAAATGTTCAGGGAGGGAGCTACTCTAGCCAAAGATGGAAAATGACCTTGGGCTGGTCAAAGGGGCTAGGACCTTCTGGAAAGGAAGCAAATGAGAGCTGGGGCTTCGCTGGGGAGGCCTTTGAGGAGGGCACCAGGGTCATGCCCTCGCCTGCATCCCCTCCCTCCCTGCCAGGTACACCTGATGAAACCAGATGTCGTCCCCAAGGCATGCTGTGCCCCCACCAAGCTGAGCGCCACCTCTGTGCTGTACTACGACAGCAGCAACAACGTCATACTGCGCAAGCATCGCAACATGGTGGTCAAGGCCTGTGGCTGCCACTGAGGCCCTGCTCGACAGCCTGCTTCTGCTGCCATCCCCATCTGACCACGCCCCTTCCCAGAGGCAGGAAACCCTCATGTGCTATCATAGCTAGACAGGGGCAACGGGAGGCCCTTACTTCCCCTGGCCACTTCCTGCTAGAATTTTGGTCCTTTCCCAGCTCCTCTATCCCCTTCTTGGGGTTTGTGGACTATTGCCCTCCCTTCCCAGTCCTCCCTACTCCAAGCACAGACTGAATGCACACGGCACCCTACCCCAAGCACAGAGCTGTGCCCACTTAGGGGCCTGGGGTCAGCACTGTAGCCCACATTAGGGGAGACTGACCCTTGGCCATCCCCAGCCCAGAATGGCCAACTTGGGATGGGCTAAGGTGGTCCTGGAGTCTGGAACTGGCTGATCTGGGCTCTGCACCATTCCCGCCCCACTGCAGGGGGGGTGTCTAGGTGTAACAGACACACACACTTAGACCAGAGCACTGCTACCCTCCTCTCATGCAGAGTTAGCTTGTTAGAAAAAGCATAGTCAGAGGCAGGTGTGGTGGTGCATACCATTAATCCCAGTGCTAGAGAGGGAGAGACGGGATCTCTGTGAGTTCAAGGCCACATAGGGACACCCTGTCTCAAAAAGGAAAAATAAGAGAACCATCTGACTGGACTTCATGGATTTCAGGAAAAGGGAGAGGGGCATTTCATGACATGCATCCTGGGCCTGCACTTCTGCCTAGAAGCAAAGGACCCCGGGAACTTCTAGTTCCCTCTACCACCGCTACCTTGCTGACCAATTTGGGGATGGGCACAGAGATAGGGTGAACCCTTAGCAGAAGCAAGAACACACTGAGGTCCAGGTTCACAGTAGACGCCACTGCTTCTTCTAGCTGACGGCCTGCGTCAGTGATCTCTCCAAGTGTCTCACGCTGCGCCTGAACACCCATAGCACCGAGCTGCAGATGGCCGCCACCAGCCACTTAGAGGAAAAGACCTGGCCTTCCTCTTCCTTCCCGAAGAACCATCCATTCCACCCAGGGCACCCACGGCCCTCCAGCCAGGCGTGGGGCAAAGGGGAGGAGCGTCAGCGTTTGCTTATGTCTGGGAACTAAGAACAGGCTGGTCACCAAGATAGCGTCACCCCGGGGGCCCAGCAGCCCCATCCTGTTTCTGGGACCTGTGAGTCAAAGAAAAGGTCCCTGTCCCAGGGGACTGACAGGTGGTAATTAGGCTGAGTTGGGTGGGGAGGCTCAGAAACCACTGTTCTCCTTGGAGCAGTGGCTGGGAGCTGGAGTGTTTATTTGATTTCTGACTTGCTAAGCCTGTAATTTACCTGCGGGAACAGAGTCCAGCTGCCCAAACTGTGTCATTAAGAGCAGGTCGTGGGCCCATCCCCATCTAGAGACACACCCAGCAGAGGTGGACCCACCCAGGTGCTCAGGGATGCACTCTATGGAGTTCACACTCTGTACCCCTGAATGGGCCTCAGGAAGCATGGGACTGGAAGCCAGAGCGAGGCTGGAGGGAGTGAGCCTGGGGCCATGTTACAGGATGGCGGCCTCCTGTGTGAGGCCAGAGCAGGGGACGCTTCCACATACATGAAGAATGGGCCCAGCCTATCTGCAAGATGGCCAGTTCCCCAAGAGCTTCAGGCTTCTGGAGGCTGGAGAGATGGTTCAGCAGTTAAGAGCACTGGTTGCTCTTGCAGAGGACTGGAAATAAATTCCTAGCACCCACATGGCAGCTCACAACCACCTATAACTCCAGTTCCAGGGGATCCAATGCCCTTCCAGTGGCTTCGGCATGTATGTGGTACACAGATACATGCATTCAGGCAAAACACTCGTATACATAAAAACGAAAGTAAATAAATCTTTAGAGACAGAGAGAGGAGAGAGAGCTTCAGGCTTTGGACTAAGCAAAGCTGGCTGGGACTACACAAGTCCTTAGCCTGAGCATCAGGCCACTGACTTGCTTAGTGCCTGGACAAAGGACCTTTCTTACCCAAGCTTAAATCTCCCATCTGGCACGAAGCTGGCTTTCTGTTATTGTAACAAAATGCTGGAGACAATCAATTTGAAGCAGGAAAAGGTGGATCTTGGCTCACAGCTTCTCCAGAGGTCTGTGGTTAGCCGGCCCTACCGCTCTGGGCTGGTGGGGAGACAACAAATTGGCAAAGAGCAAGGCAGGACAAAGCCGCTCATCTCACGGCGGATAGGAAGCTGAAGAAGGGAAAAGACTAGACTGAGCCCCAGACTCTCCTCCAATGACACATGCCCCATGACCAGAAAAACCTCCTCCTTAGCTGTAGCCGCCACCAGCTCCAGAGCCTGGGACTAAGCCTCAAGACCACAGGCTGTTGGGGACATCCCAGAGCTAAACTGGAGTCATGTTTTTCATTCCAAAGGTTCTTCCTGCCAGGAAACCTGCCTGCCTCCCTGGCCATCTCCTCTCAAGGGCTTGACCATGGGACTCACAACCTAACCCGACAAATCTCCCTGCATCAAAGCAAGAGGTAGAGGCATCAATGTTTGGTCTTGTCAGTGCCAGCATCTAGCCTGGCTTGTGTGTGTGTGTGAACATTTGGAAGATGCAGCCTCTGTGCTGTCCCAATGCAGAGCAGGAGCACCGGGCCACCGTGTGACTTCCTGCCACAACACAGCAAACAGGGGCAGTCACAGCCTCCCAGGGCTCAGACACGGGCACCAGTAGCCAACCAGGCAGTCATGGATGACACCAAATGGAAAGGTGTTAGAAGAGAGAGATATATAGCACTTGGGGTGTCAGCGTTGTCACAGAGACCATCTGGTTTCATGGTGACCTCTGACTCATTAGAAGCAAAAATACCCTTCACGGAAGGCCTGTAGGGACAATAAGAAAACACAACAGGACACAAAGGCAGGGCTGACTGTGGGGCCATTCTGTGTGGGGTGCAGACCCTCATGACATCTTCACAGCTGCAGCCCAGCACATCTGGATGCCGGCTGGGTGCAGTGCTGTTCTTCTGTCTAGATGCAACAAACTCGGCAATGCGCAGTGGAGAAACTCCCTACAGTTTGCAAGAAGAGAGGCAGAGCTGCCACTGTCAAGTCCTGGCCTGACTCTGTGATTCTGACCTCTGCGCAGCCCTCAGTGTTAACAGAGGCCCTGTGGGTGCTGGGTTAGACCTGCCCTTTTGATCCCCTCACCCAAGGCTCAGATGGGCTCACAGAGCCCTCAACATCCACCACCTGTGGGGGTACATGTAGACAGTCTTTCTCTCCCTCCCTCTGACTTTTAGAGACAGGGTTTCTCTGTGTAGCCCTAGGCTGTTCTGGAACTCACTCTGTAGACCAGGCTAGCCTCAAACTCACAGAGATCTTTCTGCCTCTGCCTCCCGAGTGCTGGGATAAAGGCGTGGGCCACACTGTCCAGCTGATAGTATCTCATTTTAAATGGATTTGACAGTGTGCCCAGGCCAGCCATCCTAGCAATGCCATCTTCTCCCAGAATGTGCTCTGCTGTTGCTATATTGACAGTTATGCTTACCCAAAACACCTCAGAGTGAGAGGTGGCCCTGCACCTTGCCACCTGTGAGAAGGTCCAAGCTGTAGCCCTGGGGTCTCTGGGGTGAAGAGAGGCAGGTGTGGCTCTAGCCTGTGGCCCTCCTGTGTTCCGCTAATGGTCAAGTGCCCACAGTGTCCTCATGGGTGAAGGGACTTTGAAAGTTTCCTTACTGGGAGAGAAAGCTTGAGCAGAGGATTGACCTTTAGAAAAATTCTTCTTTATTTAGGAAGCGTACATATATACAGGAGAATGTTTTTAAATTTAACTTTAAATTTCAAACTTAAAGAATAGACTATAGCCGGGCGTTGGTGGCACATGCCTTTAATCCCAGCACTCGGGAAGCAGAGGCAGGCAGATCCCTATGAGTTAGAGGCCAGCCTGGTCTACAGAGCAAGTTCCAGGACAGTCTCCAAAGCAATAGGAGAAAAACTGTCTCAAAAACCAAAAAAAAAAATACTATAAATCCCATAATTCCACTGTCTGGATAATCAGGGTTAATACCCCCCACCCCCAGGTCTCTTCTTAGAGCCTGCGTACACATGTCTGCCCAGGATTTGTGAGAAACTTACAAAGTTAAGCTGTACTGTACATTGCTGGTGAACTGATTTATTCAATTACATGGTGGATTTTGAAATTTTATGATATTAAATATTTTTGAAAATAAATTTGAAAGCATCTATGCCTCGATATCTGCCTCCTCTCCACAGGATAGGCTCCTCGGTGGGTGGCAGGTGCCCTGCCTCACTGGGCACAGCCTCAGGGTTGACCCACAAGCCCAGAAGCCCTGAGGCCAGGGGTTCACTCTCCCTTTATGTGGCATCTGGCCTGAGTGGGGCTACAGTAGGACTCTGTGGAGGGAGCTGGTGACAGCACAGGGCAGGCGCCTCACCACTTAGGTTCAGGAGACCTCAGAACACAAGGCCACATGTGGGTCAATGAAATAACCCTGAAGAAGCCACCTAGTGACCCCGTCTCTCGGCCCCACTTCCCCAGGATACTCAGGGAAGCCCTGGGACCACACTCTTTGTTTCACAGGGATGTGCAAACCTTTCTCCTGGGGACCTCAGTCCAGCCTGCTCTTTCTGGCCACATGCCAACCTGGAATCAGCCATGGCTGGTCCCTTCATTCTCTATTTTCTTGAACCTCATGGTAACCCTCAGTAGCTGACATTACCTGGATTCACAGCTGCCTGTCCTGATCACTGTAACTGACCTGCCCGAGAGAGACCTGTTTTGCTTTTGTTTTTGTTTTTGTTTTTATGAGACAGGGTTTCTCTGTTTTGTTTTGGAGGTTGTCGGACCAGCCCGCCCGCGAAATCACAGAGATCCGCCTGCCTCTGCCTCCCAAGTGCTGGGATTAAGGGCATGTGCCACCACCGCCCGGCCGAGAGAGACCTGTTTTAAGGAGCCAGGTCAAGCTGGGCGGTGGTGGCACGGGTTTTTAATCCCAGCACCAGAGGTAGAGGCAGGTGGATCTCTGGAGTTCGAGGTCAGCCTGGTCCACAGAGAAAGTTCCAGGACAGCCAAGGATGCACAGAGAAACCCTGTCTCGAAATAAATAGCAAAAACAAAAACAAACAAAAAACAGAATGCCAAAAATCAAGAGCCAGGTCTGCTGGGCTCTCAATCAATGAATATGGCCCAAGTCAACCTAACGTGTGAAAGCCCAGTGTGCCAACAGACTTCCTCACCCTCTCCAGGGTTATCCTGACTGTGACCCCAAATGAAAATACATTCTAGAGCAACAGCCCCACCCACAGGTTCCTGACTTCAGAAGGGACACTGGAGCAGGTGGCAGCTGGTGAGGGCGGTGTAGGACTTAGCCTCTATGCACGAGATGTCATAGGAGCATGGCTGGTCCAAATCAGGTGCAGGGAGTGAGGCCAGCCTACTGCAGGCTGCCATTTCCAGGCAGGACTTGGGAGGGGTGGCATGGGAACAAGTCTGGCTGGATAATGTTTTGCCAGTTCCAAATGGGACCTGGCAAAAAAAAGGGCCTGGATGCCCCATGGGAGAGAAATTCTGGTGTCAGTGGTGAATGGGGAGAGGACACGTTGTGAGATCGACTACAGTGTGTGTGAGAGCTGAAACAGGCCTAGCTAACCTGGTCCCCTGCCTGGCAGCAGGAAAACAGTGAAGCACTCCTGCCCAGCTTTGATTTCAGTCTTCCTGCACTGAGCACAGAGGGACAGATCCCCAAGGTCTCTCAGTCTTAGGGGAACAGCAGCAAGAAAGTTAGGTCTGTCCCAGCTGCCACCTCTGCGACCGAGCTGGAGGTCACTACAAAAACCAGGGTTTATTTATCAAAACCAAACAATGACAAACACTACTCAGGAGCCACAGATGACCCAAGACAGGTTGTGGCAGTCCATACCTGGGAGAGCCGGTGGCTAGGCACAGCTGCCCATGGTAAGGACAGGGACACTTGTACTGGCTCCCAGGTCCCAGCTACACCTGAGAAAATGCCAGAGCATGACAGGCCAGGCCATACTTTGGAGGAACTGTTCCTGAGGGATTCAGGCCCACACAGGCTTGTTTCATAGGCTGCCCCCAGCGCCAGCACTCACAAGGCTACCTCCCCCTTCTGGGTTCACAGAGTCAAGCAGAGGAGAAGAGACAGCACAGCCTCCCCGCCTGTGCTCACTCCAGGCAGCAATGGCCACCTGCTTTGGCTTCTTGTCCTTGCTGCTTTGGGCCTTGGCAGACAGAGCAGAGCTGAGAAGTCAGGGATCAAAGAGAAGAAAAGCATGAGAGGCTGAAGAGCTCGGGGCCCCATCTCCACCCGGAACATGACCACAAGAGCCCTCTCCAGACCTTCTGAGGCTTCCAGCCATGGCGGGGGCAGGGTGACCTACCTCCACCTGCTTCAAGACAGCAGGGCCTTCAGACCTCCCCAAACATTCAAGCTCACGCCCAGCCAGGCTGCTTTGCCCAAGTTAGGAAGATCTGGAAGTTACGGGTGTTTGGGCCTAGCTAGCCTCACAGAAGCTTGGGAGGAACAAGCATGGTCTCCCTGCACCCTGTGCACAGACCCTCTGCAGGCTGGCTGAGGCTCTGGGAGGCATTAGCCTCACAGATAAATTGGCACCTGGTCCTTCCCTCACCAGTGAGGCAGGCCGAGGAGGGGTGTTTTGATCTTTTAGCACTGGTTTCTCTTCTCATTTATTTAGCAAATACTAGCTATATGGTAGT